AAGTTTCGCGCAGATCCCAGATTCGGCCTCGCGGTAGCGGCGATCTACAGCAGGCTCAGGGCACACACGCCGTCCACGACGAGCTCGTCGCGACTGGCAGTTGACAGCTGGCTGCGCTGTGCAAAATTCGGGCGAGCGGGGCTCTGGTAGGTATGGGATGGGGAGTGTTGTGTTCCTCCACCTTGATTCTAACCGATTGCCTCATCATCCTACACATGCCCCTCAACATTCTCATGAGCCTTGCCTTCAACCTCGTCTCCCTTTCCTCCTCCAGACCCCGCGTCGAAGATGTTGTTTGCTTATTTCATGTAAGAAAACAGCAATATGCGTGGACCGTGAACTTTTGTCTCGAGTCAGCGGCTTCGCCCCAGGGCGGCGAGCTGGTACCTCCTCACAATTGAGGTGCCACTGCCCTCAGATCCGCACAAGTTGTTCCCTCATGTCTTACAAACGGGTGGAGACGCTCCCGGAGGGCCTCCGAAGCAGTGCCACCCGTGATGCTCCGTTGGCCTTCTGGTGTCCTCCTTGCTCCTCCCCGTGCTCCTGGCGCGGCTGGCCCCGGGGGGTCCCCGTGGAAGAGGGCAGGCTTGTGGTTCTTCTGGCCGCTAGGCCGCTGCCTCTCCTCCCGCTCCTCCTCTCCTAGAGCGTGCGCTCCGCTTCCCCTCCCCTGGCATCGCTCGGACGTGTGCATTTTTCCCTCGGTGAGGACCTTCGAGGAGCATCCTTGATCATCTGGCGAAAAAACCACGCACAAAACCGAAAAAAACACTTGGAATGGACGTCCGAGCGATGGCGAGCTCCCTGACTCGTCCCGTCCCCCTGGGGCCCCCTGGATCGCCGCGCCTTGATCCGCCGATGTCCATCCCCCATGGTTTTTGGATGCCGCCTTGAGGTTCTCGCGTGAGCGCAAGTACACGCACTGCCCATGGAGTGTCACACATGTTTGTTGACATACAATGGTAGAAGTGGCTCCCAGCATCGACATGTGTATTCCTCGTGTTTCTTTTAAGTTGCAGGCTCCAAAGCTAAGCAGCACCCTAATTTGCACATCTTTCACCTATCAATGGCAACCATCGCGGACCCAACACAGTGGTTCCTTGCAGCCTATGCGTTGCAATCCAGGTGGTGCATCCGCTGCAGCGCAATGCACGCACATGTAGTGCAACCTAGGTGTTACAATCAATGTCATGCAATCTAGGATGGTGCAAACAATCTAGGTTGTGCAATCTATGCAATGCGATGCAACGCAATGCGAAGCAATGCAACGCATCTCAAAGCAATGCAAACGAATGCAACGCAATGCGAAGCAATGCAAAGCATTGCAAGACGGGCGGCGACAAGGCGGCGGGCGGCGACGAGGTGACGACGGCGGCAACATGGCGACCAAAGCGGCCCGCAGGCCCAGGCGGCGGCGACGAGGCGGCGACGACGGCCACATGGCGGCCAGAGCGGTCCGCAGGTCTAGTTCCTTAGGAGACAAGGGAGAAACCCTAAATGAAAGCGCTGTTGTGAGAATGTGTGTACATACCAGTCCATCAGGGAATGATGAGTGAAGCATTTCATTAACGCATTGACGAACGCAAGCGACGTTTCCTAAGTTTTGCGTGTTGCCTTGGTATATCTCGGAAAAGATTGACTTGGTTGTTCAGTGTGATGCCGTCAAGCCTGATTGGTTGGTCAGCTGGCGGCCCTCATCTTCTCGGAGGGTCCCTTCCCCAGGAGGGCTGGAGCGTGAAATGTAGACGGGCACCTACATCTTACGTCGACCAAAGGACCCCGCCTGATACCCTCCTTAGTGTGAGTCAGAATCACCCTCACCGACGACCAACGATTGTGCTGACGAGGAGATGCGAGGATATCTGGATGCGCCGTCTAGGACTTTTGAGGTCTGTGGGGCCCGCGGGAGTTGTGCGACTTGTGGGGCTCGTTGGCCCCGCTGGTCCCGTAAGCATGGGGCTCCCGCTCGAGCTTTCGTGGTTCACTCACAGACGAGGCTCCCGACCGAGGCATCCTCGCGATATGCCACCCTTGGGGTGCTCATGTGTTAAGCCTGCTACAATCGGCCAATGACCCGCTCGGATTACTAAAATTGTCTGCGGGCCACATAGGGAGGGGTCTCCCGCCTGAGACTTCCCCGCAAACCACTCATAGACGACGCCCCCGCTCCAGACATCCTCACGAGTTGCCCCCCTGTGGGGCAAGATGATTTGCGGGCCCCATAGGGAGGTGGCTCCCGCCTGAGACATCGAGGCCCCTCGCTCGGGACATCCTCACGATTTGCCCCCCTTGGGGTGCTGAAGTGACGTGCCTTCTGCAGTCGGCCAATGACCCGCTCGGGCAGCTAACCCGACCCGTGGGCCCCGTAGGGAGGGGGCTCCCGCTTGAGATTTCATCACACGTCACTCACAGACGAGGCCCCCGCTCCAGATATCCTCACAGTTTGCCCTCCTTGGGGCGCTCAAGTGCGATGCCTGCTTGCCACGGAAGGTCTGTGGCCCGCTCGGATCGGTAATGATCTGCGGGCCCCATGGGGAGGGAGCTCCCGCCCGGGACCTCCTCGCGATTCGCTCACAGCGGAGGTTCCCGCTCGAGACGTTCTCTCGGTGTGTCCCCAGTAGGGTGCTCAAGTGAAATTCCTGCCACAGAAGGCCAATGGTCCACTCGGGTTGCTAACAGGACCTGCGGGCCCCATAGGGAGGGGGGGGCGCCTGAGACTTCACCGCAATTCATTCACAAACGAGGCTCCAGCCCCAGACTGCCTCCATACTCAAGCTTGAAGATGCACAAAGTGAAGACAGTTGCATGATCCCGAAGGCCGCCTCGGATTAGCAACATGACTTTCATATAGGGAGGGGGCTCCCGCTTGAGACCCCCCCGCAATTCTCGCACAGACGAGGCTCCTGCCTGAGGCTTACTCCATGCTCAAACTTGAAGAAGCCAGAAGTGACGAGGACCCGCTCGGATTAGTAACGTGAGTTATGGGTCCCGTGGGGAGGGGGCGCCCGCTTGAGATTTCCTCGTAATTCACTCATAAACAAAACTCCCGCCTGCGACTTCGTCCAGAATCGAGCTTGAACAGGCCAAACATGACGGCGGTTACAGGATTCCGATGGCCCGCCCAATGAGTAGCATGAGCTGCGGGCTCTGTAGCAGGGGGGGCGGGGGCTTCCGCCTGAGACTTCCTCGCGGTTCACTCACAGACGAGTCTTCCGCTCGTGACTTCCTGAAGATCAATGTGCGAGCGCGTGGGCGAGTGCGAAAATATTTTGCGGTGATGAACACGATGAAGATGGCATGATGATCAGTGAGAAATTGGCGAATGTGAGTGAGTGGCTGGGCGTGATGCGATGGCGATGATGAGAGTGAGTTTGTGAGTGCATCAGTGCGTGTTTGTGTGAGTGTGGGAGAAAGAAGGGAGGAGGAGGAGAAGGAGGAGGAGTATGAGGAGGAGATCCTGCGCGAGGGTTGTGCAGAGAACGGAAGAACACCACTTTGGATGAGGAGGCTAGCGAAAGGATCATGAATCTGCAACACGCATGGGAACATACACACACACACACACCGAACCGCTCTGCTACCAGACTCATCGCGGGGATTCGCACGTGTGCACCTTTTTGCGCAGGCACACCTCAAGCTTATTGGAGCTGATGTGTGCCGCCCTTTTTTGCCGGTCCAATCTCCGTGAGATGTTTGCAGCGGGAGTTCGCATCAAATTTCACATTGGGTCTCGGCCCTTTTCTGACGGCCCCGTCAGGCGAAATCGGCCCCCCACCCGTTGTTACGAGCCTCGAAGCACCACGCAACATCGCGCACACACACACACGAAACAGCATACGTACAGCCGCAACGGAAGAACAAAAATACGCAAGGTAAACTAAGTTGTACCCCAAGCGCATGTTGGTTTGTTGATTGCCGTTGACACTTCGGTCGCAACGGTCCGGACATTCCTGGGCCATTCTCGGTACACGGAAGAATGTGGTAACAAGCTGTAGCAACCAAACGTACCAAACACAATGTTGAGCATTGCAGCACGAAGCTCACATCGAAACCCCCGTGTCAAAGGATTGCACCGCCCACGAAGATACAAGCCAGTCGGAAACCAATACCGACCCATGAGCAGAAATCTAATCGCTTCGCGTAACACCACCAGCCCATCCAGAAACGCTGCCCCGGCGAGTTGCCTGGATCAGGAATGTGATGTGGAGGAGAGCGCAGTGGAAACAGGGGTTGGGGAAGCCGTTATACCCAAAGAGGGGGAGGAGGCTGGAGGAATCGGAGGAAGACGGAGGAGGAGGAGGAGGAGGAGGAGGAGGAGGAGGAGGAGGAGGAGGAGAGGGAGGGGGAGGGGTAGGGTGGGAGGGAGGAGGGAGGAGGAGTCCGAGGTCGGGGAGCGACATCGAAGTGAAACAGAGGCCCTCCACCGGAAGATCGGCTTCGTGCTCGTGCCTTGTGTGCGTCGGGGGCTCCCAAGCGGGGTGGTGACCACACCGTGTGGTGAGTCGGTGGGGATTCGGGGTCACCGCACGGTTTTGGGACTTGGGTCGTTCTCCGAGGATGTCTCGGGCGACTGGAGCCTCCAGGGTCCCAAAACCGTGTGGCGACGGACCGTGCGGTGAGGTCTTTTGGGATTTCGAGGTCACCGCCGGGTCTGTCACCACACGGTTTTGGGACACCCAAGTGCGGGCAAGGCGAAGTTGTGTGGGCGGGCGAGACGAACGAGCCCTCCTCTGGCCAGGGCGCCGCCAGGCTAAAAGGGGCCGCCCCCCCCCCCCCCGGTTGGCCAGCGGTGGCTGGAGGTGCTTCGCCGTGGTGTCCCATGATGTTTTGTGGTGACTTGTGGTGTCCCGCGGTGTCCTGTGTTGTCCCGTGGTGTCCCGCGGTGGCACGTGGTGTCCCGTGGTGGTCAGAGGTGTCCCGTCGGTGTACCGTCGATGTCCCGTCGGTGTCCCGTAGTGAGATCGTTTTCGAGATCGATAGTGAGATTAATCGTGAGATCGATGGCGAGATCGATAGCGAGATCGATAGTGAGATCGATCGTGAGATCGATAGTGAGAGGGATATTGAGATCGGTTGTGAGATCGATAGTGTGATCGATAATGATCGATCGAGTGCGATCAATCGTGAGATCCGTAGTGATGTCTGGTCGTTGTCCAATCGTTGTCCGGTAGTGGAATCGATCGTGAGATCGATAGCGAGACTGATAGTGAGATCGATCGTAAGATCCATATTGAAATCGATAGTGAGATTGATCGTGATATCGATCGGGAGACCTGTAGTGATATCGGTAGTTGGATCGTAGTGAGGTCGATAAGGAGATCGACCAGGAGGCCGATAGTGAGATCGATGGTGAGATCGATCGTGAGATCGATGGTGAGATCAATAGTGAGATCGGCAGTACGGTCGGTAGTGATATCGATAGTGAGATCGATAGTGAGAGGGATATGCAGAGCGACTGTGAGATCGATAGTGAGACGTTGGTTTCTCCCCCCAAAACCTCCTCGTCACCCGAAGGGCGATCATACATGTAGGCGGATGATGGAGAGGATGAAGAGATGAGGAACGGGAGTCAGAGGGGAGGGGGAGCAGAAAAGGCCAGGATCTTTTTGGATGTCTCTTGGACTCTATTCGGATGTCTCTTGAGATCTTCTTGGAATCATCTTGGGGCGTCTGAGGTGGCTTCTTGGCAGATCCACGTGCCTCTTGGAGCGTCTTTGGTGCCTCGGGGCAGCCTCTTGGGGCCTCTTGGGGGTTTCTTGGGAACATCTTGGGGCTCTCTTGGGGATCTCTTTGGGCCTCCTGGACACCTCTTTCGGCCCTCTTGGCGTACTCTTTGGAGCCTCGGGGGCCATCCTGGGGCCAGCTTGGAGGAGCTCGATCAAATAAGGGGCGTACTTAATGGTCCCCCCCCCAGGAGGGCCAAATTGGCCGAACACATCCGGGAAATCACTGACCGCCCGAAAGAGCTGCTACGACTTCAGCTGACGTACAGCAAACAAGACGAATTACTACGCACAACAAGTTGCAACGTAACAAGTGCAACACACTACTCAACGTCGCCAGGACATATGATAAGAGCTGCACGCGAGACCATTGTAGCCGCTTGTGTTGTGTCACCCTGTCCCCGACCTTCCCCAGAACACTCTCGTCAACACGCTGAAAAGCCGACGTAGGGACCAGCATGTCAGCAAGCAGCAAGCATAGAAAACACATGCACAAAGCGTTTCAATTATTTCGGAACTCCGAAAAACAATGCAAGATGAGCTGCATCGAAGTTACATCGAAACCCATCGTACTCTTCTCTTGTGGTTGTCGCCGCCCTCCCCGAACCTCCCCAACCTGCCCCCACCACGCGCGGACACCCACTGTAAGCTCGAGTTCCAGCCCGCAGCGAATCCGCATCAAGCGACCGCCGTTGCCACGCTGGTTCAGGCCGGTCGTGTTTCAGGCCGTGGGCCTCGCATCAGAGCAGTGTGTGGTGTCGGCGGCGGAGGTCATGGCCCATGGCTGGACACGCGCCAGGGAGCAGGGCAAGGTCACAGAGGCGCAGGGGTAAGCTGGGGAAAAAATTGACGAAGTCGGGCTCGACTTCCAACAGAAGAACACACCATGTTCGTTCCTCTGTGCACGCTTCCTTTTCAAGTCGAGTTCGACTTCAAACGAAAACCCGCAGCTCACTCAGGAGACCCTGAAGACCGTCCCGCATCTCGACGACAGGGCCTTGGCGGCCCTGCCTTTCGAGGCCTGCGGGCACACGGCGTGGGACAAGCTGCCCGCGATCGGCGCGGGGGGTGCGCAGGTGCAGGGCCCGCCGAGCTCGCACGACCTCGGCGCCGGAGGGAGGCGGAGCAGCACCGTGAGCTCGACGGCGAGCACCGCGTGCTCTCTTGGCAGCCAGTTCCGCGAGCACCGCAAGGATCTCAGGGGCAAGGTTCGCGGAATGGGGGGGAAAGGGGCTCCGGGGCGGAGGCGTCGATCCCCCATCGCCCGCGGATCGCCGACAGGGGCCCGATAGCCCGCCCCGCGCAGGAGCGGGCGATTCTGCTGTCGGGGGCTTAGCTCGAGGAGGGAGGACGCCATAAGCATAAACTTTCAGCGCTCCGCGCGCCAACAGTCTGTGTTGATGCTGTTGTGTCTCTACTGTCGCCGGTCCATCGGCGATGCATCGCCGATGGCGAGCCGGTGCTGCCCTCCCCCCGAGCCGGTCAAGTCGCCTTTGGGTCGCTTGCCCGCGCTTCCCTCGAGACCGCAGTTTTGCCAAGTTCTTGTTTTCACTGCCCCGTCGTCGAGCTCGCCTGGGGATGCATCGTGGATAGCCCTCCTGAGGGGCAGCGGATTCCTCCTCCTTGGCGTTGAACAAAACAAACAAACAACACAGGAGGGGCAACGCTACGAGCTCGTGGCCGCCCGCCGTCGCGTCAACCGCCAGCGGCTCCTCGGGGCCGACGGCGCCTTCGTTGGGGAGTGCGCGAGCGGCTTCTGCGGCACCGACTGCACGAGGTGCGCGGCAAGGAGGCGCCAGGAGCAACGATAGGGGGGGTGTGGGCATAGGGGGGGGCGCAACGACCCCCAATCACCCACTGATCGGCGATAAGGGGCCCGATGGCCCCACCCCGCCCAGGAACGCTCGGATTTGCTATCGGGGGCTTACCGCCGATCCGCCGACGATGCATCGCCGATTCCAGGTCGATGTTTCCCCCCCCTGTGCCAGTCCCCCCTGTCGTTGCCCCTCAAGGCGGGAGTAGGCGGCCAGGGCCGTCGCGGGGGTCCGACGGCGCAGCATGCTGCGCTCGCGCTCCGCGTTGGCATCGTCGGCGGTGCGGTCTTGTCTTGCTGCGCCTCCTCCTCTTCCTCCTGCTCCTCTTTGCCGACATGTGCCTCCCTTTTGACGAGATTTGCCCCTCCTCCTTCTCCTCCTTCTCCTCTTCCTCCTCCTCCTCCTCCTCCTCCTCCTCCTCCTCCTCCTCCTCCTCCTCCTCCTCCCCCCCTCCTCTCTGACGAGATGTGCCTCTTCCTCCTCTCCTCCTCCTCCTCCTCCTCCTCCTCCTCCTCCTCCTCCTCCTCCTCCTCGCTTGAGTTATGAAAGCAGCAGGGTGCCTTTGCCCCAGCTGCTGTTTAAAACAGCGCGCTGCGCTGTTCAAACCTTGGGAAGCCCCCCCGGCCGCAGAAGACCCGGGCGCGAAGCGGGAAAAGGGCCGGTGGACCACAGGACTGAAGCGGAGCTAATCAAGACGGCTGTCAGCACCCAGGGGACCACCACCAACACCACCAGGAGGGGGAGGGAGGTCGTCAGCGTCGTCGTCGTCCGTCCCGCCGCCCGCCAGGCCGCCGCCCGCCGGAGAGAAAGGGGAGGGAAGGGAGGGGGGACCCAGGGCCCCAGGCGGGGAGACCGCGTCCCCGAAGGCCCACCCGCCAAGGCCGGCGAGCGCCTGCATGATGGCGACGCCGAGGCGGCACGCCATCGCCTGCAGCTGAGCCCGACGCAGAATCGAGCCCCCGGCAGCCTTAGTGATCCACCCCGTTTTCGCCGTGACGCGGGGCTGGGCCCCCCACCAGGCTGGCGCGACCCGCAGATTCTCCCCGAGTTCGAGCCGACGTCCAGCAAAACGCGGGCACTCGGCCCAGATATGCCGAGCCGACGCCTGGGTGTGCCCGCAACCGAACGGGCAAACGCACGCGCTGCCGTGCCTGCGCGTCGGCGTGCACGCGGCCCCGCCCCTCCAAACGGCGAGGAGGTTCGTCTCGTATCGGCCCAGCGATCGCCGGAACTGGGCCCACGGCGGCGCGCTCTGAACAGCCAGATCGATCTCCCCAATCCCCTCTTCGTCGTGCCGCGGCGGGGGCCCAGGCGCCGCCCGGGGGCGAAGGAGCGCCGCCCGGGCGCACTCCCGGAGAACGTGCTGACCGCGATCGGATGAGGCGTCGAAAGCCCTCCAGGGGGGGCGAGGGGTCCCAGGGCACCGGGTTCTCGCTTCGCGGCTGTCAGCGGCGGCTGCAGCGGTGACCGCCGCCGCGGCCCGGGGGTCGAGCGCCGCGGCCCGGGGGTCGACCTCCTCCTCCTCTCTTCCTCCTTTTCTTCCTCCTCCTCCTCCTCTCTGACGAGATGTGTCTCCTTCCTGGTTCCCTCCCCCTGCTCCCCGCGCGTGTCTGGGGTACGTCCGCACGTGCTTCCGCGACGCCTCGCCCGCCAGATGTGGTCCGTCCGGACGCCGCCCTCGTGGCCTGCTGCTTCGGAATCAGAAGTTGCGGGTGTTCTCCAGGGGGCACCAGCAGCTTACCAGCTCGCTTTATAGCCGCTCAGCTGCATTCCCCTCTGGTCCCCCCGCCCTGCCCACGTCCATGTAGGGTGAAATGTCCCTGCGCGTGACCAACGCGCCGCCCTTACGAGGAATACGGTAGGCGGTACGGCGCCGATGGCGCGGCAATTAAGTTGCACAGCTTTCGATTGGGCTGGCAGCTACATGTTGCAGTCGTGGCATCAGGCATCCTGTTGTCGCAGCCCCGTCTGCCACGAGCAACACAGCGTCACACCTGCATTGCTTGAGCGTCGGTCAACGTCGAGGTCGCAAAATGGGCGAATTGGACGCAGAAGGACCGTCATCTCTAAAAACTTTGCGGCCAGGGCAAGTGCCCGCACACGCATGGGGCTCAGCAGTCAGACGCGCCTTCTTCTAAGCACCAGCGTGACCTCCAGTGCCACGTGTACCGTTCCCTCTCTCTCTTTCTTTCTCTCCCTCTCTCTCTCTCTCTCTCTCTCTCTCTCTCTCTTTTTTCCCAACCATCCTGTGGTGTTGGGTCCTCGTTTTGAAGAGACGGTGCCCCGCGTTCTCCTTCCTTCCTTCCTTCCTCCCGCTTCCTCCTCCCCCCTCTCATCATCATCATCATCATCATCATCATCATCATCATCATCATCATCATCATCGTCATCATCATCAACACCCATTTCGGCACACCCCTCACACGTTTCGTGGCTCCATAGGGAGCTCCACCGAAGGCCCCAGTGCCCGCGGCCGCATGCGTCCCCCACACCCATTTCGGCACACCCCTCACACGTTTCGTGGCTCCATAGGGAGCTCCACCGAAGGCCCCAGTGCCCGCGGCCGCATGCGTCCCCCACACCCATTTCGGCACACCCCTCACACGTTTCGTGGCTCCATAGGGAGCTCCACCGAAGGCCCCAGTGCCCGCGGCCGCATGCGTCCCCCACACCCATTTCGGCACACCCCTCACACGTTTCGTGGCTCCATAGGGAGCTCCACCGAAGGCCCCAGTGCCCGCGCGCCGCATGCGTCACCCACACCCATTTCGGCACACCCCTCACACGTTTCGTGGCTCCATAGGGAGCTCCACCGAAGGCCCCACCGCATGCGTTTCGGCACACCCCTCACACGTTTCGTGGCTCCATAGGGAGCTCCACCGAAGGCCCCAGTGCCCGCGGCCGCATGCGTCCCCCACACCCATTTCGGCACACCCCTCACACGTTTCGTGGCTCCATAGGGAGCTCCACCGAAGGCCCCAGTGCCCGCGGCCGCATGCGTCCCCCACACCCATTTCGGCACACCCCTCACACGTTTCGTGGCTCCATAGGGAGCTCCACCGAAGGCCCCAGTGCCCGCGGCCGCATGCGTCCCCCACACCCATTTCGGCACACCCCTCACACGTTTCGTGGCTCCATAGGGAGCTCCACCGAAGGCCCCAGTGCCCGCGGCCGCATGCGTCCCCCACACCCATTTCGGCACACCCCTCACACGTTTCGTGGCTCCATAGGGAGCTCCACCGAAGGCCCCAGTGCCCGCGGCCGCATGCGTCCCCCACACCCATTTCGGCACACCCCTCACACGTTTCGTGGCTCCATAGGGAGCTCCACCGAAGGCCCCAGTGCCCGCGGCCGCATGCGTCACCCACACCCATTTCGGCACACCCCTCACACGTTTCGTGGCTCCATAGGGAGCTCCACCGAAGGCCCCAGTGCCCGCGGCCGCATGCGTCCCCACACCCATTTCGGCACACCCCTCACACGTTTCGTGGCTCCATAGGGAGCTCCACCGAAGGCCCCAGTGCCCGCGGCCGCATGCGTCCCCCCACCATTTCGGCACACCCCCTGCATTTCTCGCACGGCAGGGTCATCACCACGGTGGCGTGCCAGGGGCGCACCATGCGCGAAGGCGACGGGGCGGGGGAACGGCGCTCCGGGGGCGGCCAGACCTCCGGGGCGCGAGCAGTCCGCGGCCAGACCATCTCTCGGTCCTGTGGACTCTCGCCCTGGGCCGTCGGCTGCCCGGCGCGCTGCTCCCTCGGTCGACGTCGCCCAGGCGTGATCCTGGATTGCGGCCGCCACGAGGTAGGGAACGGCAAGAAGGAGGACGACGACTGGTGGCTGGAGCTCTACGTGCTGCTCTCGCGCGCCACGCGCCACGAGGACCTCCTGCTCATGCGGGCGCCGCGCATCGAGTTCTTCCTGGCAGGGCCGCCGCAGGGCTTGCGGAAGCAGCTGGAGCAGTTTGCGGCGCGCACGAAGCGGTGCAGGAGGGAAGCGACGGCCCTCGCCAGGGAGCTCGGCTTCACCGAGTTCATCCGCGAGGCCTGACCTGAGGAGCGTCTCCCCCGAGCCGCGCCTTCTCTCGACTGCCCGACTAATTGTTTGGCCTCGCGCCGCGGACGACCCGCGCGCGTCGCTGGGACCCTCTCGGGGCGACCAGCGCGCGTCGCGGGAACTCCGTGCTGCGGGGGGCCCGGCGCCTCGTTCGCCCGTCGTCGCTCTGCCCAGCGGTCAGAGACTTGCCCGCTATCAGCCAGCCAGTTAGCTAGTCAGCTCTCTCTGCTTCGCGCAGCGGACGACCCGCGCGCGTCGCTGGGACCCCGCCCGGGGCGACCAGCGCGCGTCGCGGGGACTCCGCGCTGCGCTGCGCCCGCAGCCTTGGATTTTGGAGTGCGCGGGCAAAGAGGAAGGAAAAGAAGAGCCGAAAGCGGGCGCGATCCTCGCAAGAGGCGTGCCGACATGGGCGTCGCGACGTGCGGACGCTGCCGTCGGGGTTCCCGCGGAAGCTGCCTGCGGCGGCCACGCCCAGTGTCACGTGTGTTCGGACAGGCATGCTCGACACTTACACTAGGCGGTTCCATGATCGCATTCATGCAAATATATTCACTCGCGCGCAGACCCATTCATACTCAGATTCCCTCGCGCTCTGACTCACCCGCGTTCTTTCTCTCGTAATCAGATCTATCGTATTCCTTTGCGTTGTGTACCCCGCCACATTTCGGCACGCCCCTCATGCGGTTCGTGGCCCCATAGGGAGCACCACCGAAGAATATATTCACAATTGCGATACTCACAACTGCATATGGTTGGGTCCTTCGCCAGGATATTTATATCTCTCTCTTTCTTGCTGTCTGTATTTATCTCCCCTCTCTCCCACTTGTTTTTTCCCGTTCTCTCCCTCTCTCTCCCCCTTCGAACGCGCAAGCGCAACATCGGATCGCGTACCAGCCAGAATTGGTCGATAAGCCCTCTGGGCACTGCAGCTTCCCCTCGCCTCCCTGCTCCCGCTCCTCTCCTTATAATGCGTTCGCTGCCGGGACACCGAGGCGCGATCCCATGGGGTACGCGATCCGGCGGATACGTGGGGCGCGGGGCCCGGGGTAGCGTCAGGAGGGAACAAAAACACAGACACCATTAATCGTCGATTCCTGAGAAAATATGGGAAAATATTGGAAGTGTGGGGGAAGACAGAAACCCAGAAAATATGAGACAATATTAGGAATATGTTGATATGTGTGTATTTATTTGTATGTTTTGGGGCCCCTTTATAGCGGTGCAGGCCCGCCCTGGGATCGCGGCCTCGGAGTCAAGGCCCAGGGGTCGCGGCCTCGGAGTCCAAACCGCGAGGCCTTGGCAACAGATATTCCCAAGCCCTCCTGCTGCGTTGGGACCTCCTTCTGAAAAAGAGCACCGCGGTCGCAACTCCGTCCTTCGCGCCTGCAGCCTCCTCTCTTCCCTCCTCTTCTCTCCTGCTTGTACCTGGCTTGCGCCTGCCTGCCAGCTCGCCTCTTACCTCGCCGTCCTACGTCACCTCGCCATCCCTAGGGGGGGCTGCGATCTGCGAAACTGTCGCCACTTCCGAGGGCTGCTGAGGGGTCCAGCGAAGTGAAGTCTTACCGGGGATCCAGATTAGACTTCATCATCTGGGGGGCTGCGATCTGCGAAACTGTCGCTACATTCGAGGGCTGCTGGGGGGTGCAGCGGAGTGACGCCCCACGGCAGACCCAGATTAGACCTCGCCAAACCTGAGTGGTTGCGATCTGCGAAACTGTCGCCACTTTCGAGGGCTTCTGGGTGGGTCCATCGGAGTGACGCCCCACGGCAGACCCAGATTAGATCTCGCCATCCTTGGGGAGCTGCGATCTGCAAACTTGTCGCCACTGTCGAGGGCTGCTGGGAGGTCCAGCGGAGTGACGCCCTAAGGCAGACCCAGGTTTGATCTCGCCATCCCTGGGGGGCTGCGACCTGCAAAATTGTCGCCACTTTCGAGGGCTGCTGTGGGGTTCTTGGGAGTGACGCCCTACGGCAGACCCAGATTAGATCTCGCCATCCCTGGGGGGCTGCGATCTGCAAAATTGTCGCCACTTTCGAGGGCTGCTGGGGGGTTCAGCGGAGTGACGCCCCACGGCAGACCCAGATTAGATCTCGCCATCCCTGGGGGGCTGCGATCTGCAAACTTGTCGCCACTTTCGAGGGCTGCTGGGGGGTTCAGCGGAGTGACGCCCTACGGCAGACCCAGATTAGATTTCGCCATCCTTCGGGGTTACGATCTGCGAAGCTGTCGCGTCCTCGAGGGCTGCTGGGGGGTGCAGCGGAGTGACGCGCCACGGCAGACCCAGAGTGGACCTCGCCATCTTTTGGGGGGCTGCGATCTGCGCAGCTGTCGCCACTTTCGAGGGTCCAGCGGAGAGACGCCCTACGGCAGACCCAGAGTAGACCTCGCCATCTTTGGGGGGCTGCGATCTGCGAAGCTGTCGCCACTTTCGAGGGCTGCTGGGAGGTCCAGCGTGGTGATGTCCTCACGCGGACTCAGCTTCGCCTTGATTTCTTTTCACGCGGGCCGCCCGAAGCCCTGGCAGCGAGCCTGCGAGTGCAGGAAGCGGTGAGTCACCCTGGCGGGCGAGCTCGGCCTCGCTCGCTTCTGGATCTTGCGCCAGATGCGGTCAGCTGGCCTTTTGGAGCACCAGGTCGATACGGCGCGGGCCGCGCTGCTTGTCCAGCGCGTTATTGGACAGTCATCGCCTCCCTCCTTCCTCATCTTGCCACTACTTGGCATCGCTCGGACGTGTGCATTCTTCCCTCGGTGAGGACTATCGAGGAGCATCCTTGATCATCTGGCGAAAAAACCACGCACAAAACCGAAAAAAACACAGGGAATGGACGTCCGAGCGATGGCGAGACTATCGTTGTCGTCCTCTCCCTCTTTCCACCGTTTCGCTGCCGCGGTCGCTTGGACTGCTCGCCCCCTCTTCCGTCCGTGTTCTGCCCCTCGGTCCGACCACTTCTTCTTCGAGCTCGGGACCTCTGCTCCTTATACTGGTGTCTTGTGAGTCATGCGACGCGCGCTTACCATATAGCTTGCACAACCAATGACACTACCTGCGTTGCATCTTCAATACCATTCTGGACCAGCCCCTCGTGTCACTGACTTTGAACGCCGCAGGGGGTTGTTTTTTTGTAAGCGTCTTGACGGCGCCTGCCATGACAGTGGTCGGCCGCCCGCATCCTTTACGATTGAATCATGACACACGGCATCGGCTATGACGCTCGTCGAAAGCCTTCATGCAGGAGTGCACGGCACCCGGCATGATGCTCTTCGGGCGACCGCGCCGTGTGCTGCCAGCCTCCTTGGAGCTTCCTTTTCAAGCCAGACGGGGGGAATTCGTCTTGCCCGGCTGCCTTGGTCTTGCCTGGCCCGGCCGGCCGCAAACGGTTGCTCTGCACTGTTCGCCAAATGAGGTGGG